CTTTGTTCTACATTTCTGTGCTGCTGTTTTTCCTGCTTTAAAAAAAGAGAGAAAGAATAATACAATGCTACCATAAGACTATGCTGAGATTTCGCAACACTTAATATCCAGCAGCCAGTGAGTGAAGTTAGAAATGAGCTTTGATTACAATTGCCCATCATGATAGAGCATAGAATAATTATTGTGAACACTAGACAGAGTTGTCAGTTGTGTAGTACAGTGTTTATGCCATCACATTAGCACTGGAAAATATTCTTAGACAATGATTCAAGATTTACTATTACAAAAGTAGTCTGGTTAAGATGTTAATTATATCTGACTATATGGTTCCCACATTTAATTTGAATAAAATTTATAATAACATTTAGCATACCATAAAGGTTCTATCTTAATAATGAACATATAAATTCATTTTAAATTATAATTTCTGGAGAGAACACAATGTGTTTGAAACATTATGAAGTACCTGCTTAAATATGGTATTTACTTCTAATGAATGCACTAGCATTATTGTTTAATTGATACCTTGGTTAATATAATTAGTTTGTAGTACAAAACACATCTACCCATACTAACTCAGAAAATATTATATCAGCTATATGGAATGTAAACTGAATATTCTAAATAGGTTAATTTACATTTATGTGCTATTTCAAAATCTCTTCTACCACGTGATACCTTTTGTAATGTTTAAATAATTCAACTTGAAGTATTTGAAATTGTATATATAATTTAGTGTGTGGGATTTGAATTTTGTTATAACTAAATTTAGATAATTATGTTGTTTCTGCTGAAAGAAAGCATGTTATGATTGCATTTCTAGTAATATCACTAGAAATGGCCTTAGAAATTTTCTGGTCATAATTTCTATTTAATATGTAAAAATTATGAAACCTTGGCATCTTAAATGCTTTTGTTTAGAGTGTATATCTGGTTTTAGTAGCCTTAAGAAAATAATTTAGTTTGTCTAACCTATATTCTGCCCTAATTCCATTTCTCTCCAGGTTACCACGTTAACCTGCAATTCTTTTAACTGTATAATTTCTATCATATTGTTCTCTTTTAGGAAGTTTAGGGATGTTATATCATATCTTTAGATACAAATTCTTCCACTCCCAAACGGGAAACTGTTCTGGTAATTCTGAGTTTAAGCATGCCAGATCTGTTGAGTAAAATCCCTTAACTGACTAACAAAATATATTAAATAATAGTTCGATGTGGCACAGGTTACCTTTCACATTTTTCTGAGTCTAAGGGTCTGTTTGTTATATACAAGTTTCTGTTTACATCTTGAATCTAAGCTTTACACCAAACTCAGCATCTCATGTTGATCTCAAAAATTCTGGAGATTAGGTTTTATGCATATTAATTAAATACTCTGCATTGAAAGAATGTCTATGAACTTAATTATTCTGCTCCCTTGTTAACACAAATTACTAAAATTTCTACAAAATCCTAAATAAAATAGGATTTTTTTTTTTACCTAGTAAAAAATTCAGTTTGAGGTCAGCAAATATCCTCTCTAATTTTTTTATGCTATGCATTTGCTTGTGAATGTCATTCATTATTACTGAAGAAGAAATCAACTTATAGTATATTCAATATATATATTCAATATATGTATAGTATATTTAGTTCAACATCTTCAAAAGAAAAATATGGATATATTAGGCCAGAATGTTTGCTGATAAGCTCTATTAGATGTATGACCTATATGATCAAGAAAACGTGTCTCTGAGAACACAGGTGTTACAAATATAAGAGCATTTTTAGCAGGTTCAAGAAAAAGGAACGGAGCCCACTTGGGAAAAGCTGACGGAAGGTCACAACAAGGTTGTAAAGCTGCATTAGTTTATAATGCTTCCTTCATGTTGTAGTCCCCACACTTAGAAAACTATCTTGTACATAGTAGGTAGTCATTATGGAAGTGACTAGTTAACAATGCAATGAAATATATTAAACAATAAAACAGCTTTAAGAGTCAAGTGTGAAACTTCGTCCCCCAGTGTATAAACACATCTACTTATACATGTTTTTCTGGGAATACATTTCTGTATTATATTAATGTACACTATGTATGTATTATGGAACTCAAACAAGGTTATTCAAAATTAGTTTACTCTTTTATTTTATTTTTTTTAATCTTTTATTGAGGCTCATACAATTCTTATCACAATCTACATACACATCCATGTGTCAAGCATATTTGTACATTTGTTTCCATCATCATTCTCAAAACATTTGTTTTCTACTTGAGCCTTTGATATCAGCTCCTCATTTTCCCCCTTCCTCCCAGTCACCCCCCTTCATAACTCCTTCATCATTTATAAATTATTATTATTTTCTTATATCTTACACTATCTAATGTCACCCATCACCCTCTTTTCTGTTGTCTGTCCCCCAGGGAGGAGGTTAGATGTAGATCCTTGTAATCGGTTCCCCCTTTCTACCCCACCTTCCCTCCACCCTCCAGGTATCACCACTCTCACCACTGGTCCTGAAGGGATCATCTGTCCTGGGTTCCCGGTGTTTCCAGTTCCTATCTGTACCAATCTACATCCTCTGGTCTAGCCAGATTTGTAAGGTAGAATTGGAATCATGATAATGGGGGGAGGAAACATTTAAGAATTAGAGGAATGTTGTATGTTTCATCATTGCTACGGTGCACCCTGACTGGCTCATCTCTTCCCCGCAACCCTTCAGTAAGGGAGTGTCCAGTTGCCTACAGATGGGCTTTGGGTCTCCACTCTGCACTCACCCTCATTTAAAATGATATGATTTTTTTGGTCTTTGATGCCTGATACCTGATCCCTTCGACACCTCGTGGTCACAGGCTGGTGTGCTTCTTCCATGTGGGCTTTGTTGATCCTCAGGTAGATGGCTGCTTGTTAATCTTCAAGCATTTAAGACCCTAGACACTATATCTTTTGATAGCCGGGCACCATCAGCTTTCTTCACCACATTTGCTTATCACACATTTGTCTTCAGTGGTCGTATCAGGAAGGTGGGCACCCACTGATATGATTTTTTGTTCTTTGATGTTTGATACATGGACGCTTCTACACCTCGTGGTCACACAGGCAGGTGTGCTTCTTCTATGTGTGCCTTGATGTTTCTGAGCTAGATGGCCGCTTGTTTACCTGCAAGCCTTTAAGACCCCAGACACTATATCTTTTGATAGCTGGGCACCATCAGCTTTCTTCACCACATTTGCTTGTGCACACATTTGTCTTCAACGATCATTATTCAAATTTATGGAATTGAGATTGGAAACTGATTTTTTTCCAGAAATTGCATAAAAATTGTATTTGAGTGAATGAATCTTTGCACTTCAATCTGATGTAATGCATTATTACATTTTACATAAGTCTAAAACATTTTAAAGAAAGTATTGCCTGAAAATTTACATGTGAAGTTACAACTTTTAACAAAACCCCCAAATAAACACATGCCTCCAAATGGAGTAAAGGGTCAGAAGACCAATTTAAAAGCTAAAAAGTTAATTCCCTTAAAAAAAGAATTGGGAAATGAATAGGACCATCGTTGGTTGATTTTATGGGGGGAAAGTTAAAAGCAACCAGACTTCCGCATGAAATGGTGACATGAGCATACACATCTAACATTTCTCATTGTAGGAACTAAAATTAGGTAATAAGAAAATGCATCAGCACAAGCACTTTAATCTAGGAAGAATAAAATTAGTGTTAAAAATGTCAAGGTACATTTGTGAGCTATTATGAGAATGAAATTAATTGATACAAATTTATTCTGGGACAATATCTTATAATAGCAATATACCTAATGAGAAATGAAAGCATTAGCATTATTATTGTTTGAAAGGTGTCATGGTCATCTTCTCTGAACTGTATATAAATCAGCTTGCTTATACTTCCTAGTCCTGTGAACTACACTGTCTTATAAGAAGAAGTGACTTGCTTGGCTAGCTGGACACAGTGTTATAAGAAGAAATGATTTGGTTGGCTAGCTGGCATCTAAACTTCTTTTTATAGATGAGGGACCACCTGCAACACTGGTATTCTGTGGGCTCCTGAAGCTTTAGTTTCACCAATGCTTTCAGCGTAGCTTGGACCTATTTCTTAATACCATCGTTTTTTGATAAGATAATACCTTAAAAGTGATTGAACATCAATAAATTCCTTTCTTCTACCTTTTTTTTTTTGTATGTGGATGCTTTCTGCAACAATTAACCAATATTATACCCATTTCTCTAGAGTCAATTCTGACTTATAGTGAGTCTATGGGGCAGAATAGAATGGCCCTATGTACAACCCATGTAAGACCTTTACACGAACAGAAAGTCTTGTTCCCCATTAAATGACAGTGGGTTTGAACTGCTGACCTTATAAATTAGAAGACCAGTGCTTAACCCACTATGCCCACAAGACTCCTTACTTTGCCAGCATTTGTTGTTCTTGTTGTTAGGTGCCTTTGATAGATTCTGACTCATAGCGACCCTGTTTACAACAGAATGAAACACCTGGTCTTGAACCATCTTCAAAATTGTTATTATGTTTGAACCCATTGTTATAGCCACTGTGTCAACTCATCTTGTTCTATTTTCTGAAACCACTCTACTTACCAAGCATAATAACTTTCTCCAATGACTAGTCTCTCCTGCCAACATGCTCATAGAATGCTAAAATACTGGAACTTAATGAATGAAATTCATCTTCAGTCTATCAGCTTGATAAATGCCAATTATATTCTTCTCTTATGATTTCCTTACTCCAGATTATGTGCATTTTATTAAAATATTTTGTTATCAAGCTGTGCTTTGAAACTTTTTCCTTTCACTGCAATTTCTCCAAGTTCTAGAGCAAGTTTCAGAGTCTCATCTAATACCCATTTTGCTATTTTCATACTTTCTTATCTTTTTTGTGGCCATTGGTTTCTTCTTGTATGATATATTTGATGTCATTCCACAACTCATCCTCTTTAACCATTTGTGTTTCATATCAAATCCATTCTTTTTTATTTTTCAGGGGAGAGCGCCAACGCAGTCCCCCACTACCACAAATTATGCAATCAAGTGTCCCATATTTGGGGAAAGCACCGGTGTCAGCACAGCCGCAGTGCAATGGGTGAGCCTCGCCCTGGGAAAACCACTTCCTGATCATGCTGTCTCTCCTTCCAGGTAAAGTATTCAAATCCATTCTTGATAAGGTCTCTAAATACAAGCAGGATACAGTCAAGGTTTCCTTGGGTTCTCGTGGACTTTAAAAAAATATTATTCTGCTTTAATTGAATTTACATATGAGCAAGTAATGGTCTAATCCAGATTTGACCCCCTTATTTTCACTGAATATTTTGGGCTTCTCCATTGATTTGATTCCTGTGTTTCCATCCACTGAGTCCATGTAGATAACTTCTTTTTATGCTGTTTAAAAAAAATTGCTTCCAATGAATAAATCCTTAGTCTTATAAAATTATATTACGTAATCTGTAGCATCATTTTCATCACTAAAATTGTATTTTCCAACTATAGATTTCCTTCATCTCAGCTGTCCCCATTACAACACCAGCAATTATCAAGGCATCTTGATCACATCTTTGATTAGTTTCACAGTGCAGAAGTTGATAAAAACTTCAACTTCTTTATTCTTAGCATTAGTGGTTGGCGAATAAATTAGAGTATGGTAACTATCGTGTTAAGAGATCCTCCATGTAAGCACACAGATACTATCCTGTCACTGATAACATCATCTTTCAGGATAGACCTGGAAATGTTCTTTGTAGTGATCACTGCAAAGCTCTTTCTCTTCACTCTGTCCTTCCTGGGCTAGTAGACCACATGAGAGTCTGATTCAAAGGGGCTAGTACCAGTATATTTTAGCTCACTAATACTTAGGTTACTGACCTCTCTGCATTTCATTTTACTATTGACAACTTACAATATGCCTAGAATCATATTTTATATACCCTACATTTCAATTATTAATGGATATTTACAAATTTCAAGTTTGTGCCTTCCACTGATTGGACCTGGTCCTTACCACTCAAAGTGGAACAGAGTAACAAAAGTAAATTGGATTTTATTTGAATGCTAACTGGGCAAGCATCCTTCTAGCAGTATATTTGCTTGGTGGATGCTCCCTTTACTCCAATTTCCCATATGATATTTATGCTTATTTCTTCTAACAATAAAATGCCTGAAAGCACAGTGTATACATGAAAGAATTCTACAATCAATGTTTGATTTCTAACTGACTCCTGATCAGTCATGCATGATGATCAAGAAAGCTTCTCGTGTCAGTTTTACTCCCAGCAGGGCTTAGATTGCAATTAACATTCCAAACTATTCTTGAACCCTTGGAAACAATCAAAACACATTATAACGAACAAACAAGACTGATTATACTCAAGGCTGATTCAAATAAAAATGACTGTGGTCTTTACCACAATTCACCATTATTTCATCCCATTTTGAGATTTGCTGCATCAACAAAGGTTTCTCCTGGCACTGTATAATCATAGAATGCTGTTGCTACTGATAAGGTTTTCTAGCTCAGTACCTTTAGAAGTGAACCACTTTGTCCTCCGTTGCTTGCTCTGATGAAACCTGTCCACCATTGGTCCCCCTGATGTTATTTGAAATGCACACCACACTGACATAACTTTGAGCGGCATAGTAAGACACAAGGCACCACAGTACAACAAATTCACATTCAAGTGGTGCAAAGTAATGTATACACATAAAAAAATCGATGTGATCTAACCACTATTTAAATAAATGTAAATGAGAATTACATACTAATAGCATCTGTCAAATTGTTAAAGATTCGCTTTTTGATAAAACTCAATAATGACAAATATGTCAAATCATGGTTATTGACACTATTAGTATCAGAGTATGATTGCTAAAAACGCTATTTTGTAAAATTCTCACAATATTTGACATAGTATTTTACTCATAATACACATTAAACTACCTAAATAGATAAATACAAATTAATCAAAAAAATTGAGGATCCTTATATACGTACTTTTTTTCTTTGCAGTGCCCTTTATAACAGTATACAATTAGAAGCAACCAACATTAGAGTACTCGTTAAGTAAATTATCATTTATGCACATAACTGGTTCTTTTGCAGCAACTGAAATTGATATTTCAGCAACTGAAATTGATGTTCAAATGCTGAGAACTTAGGTTGTATTTTAAGAAAAAGAATATTCAAAGGTATACACATAATATGATTTTAATATATACAGTATAGCAAAACATTCCTTTGGATTATGCTAAACTATTTCTGCATAGTACAATAGTAATATCTATTTCTTTTAAAAGTTAGTTATTAATTATATTGGGTTTACGATTCAGTTCAGCAACTTTGAATTCAATAGTTTAAACTACTAATCAAATCCCCCAAAGTCTACCCTTCACTTGTTCATGACTTTTCTTCTTCCTCTTATGGAATACCACTTTCATTCAAGTTGACACCTGTCAACAATCTAGCTCGTTGTATTATCTTCCTTCTTATGACTTCCATCCCCTATCCCTTGGTCATCTCCAAAACATACTTCCTTGCTATGAAAGTCTTGATCTTGTTTTGTTTCATTTTTTGGTGGTGGTGTGTTTTTTTCCCCCTATTTTAACAGTCATTTCATACGATACTGGTCCTTTTTGATTGGCTAATTTAACTCAGTATGATATCGTCCAGGTCTACCCATGCCATGAGGTGCCTTGTTATTTCATCATTGCTTTTTAGTCATTTGTAATATCATAATATTCCATTGTACATATGATTTCTTCATGCATTCTTGTACTGAAGGGCCTTTAAACCGTTTCCTTATTTTTCCATCTTTCTTGCTATGGAGGACAGCGCCACATTGAACATGAATGTGCATATGTCTTCCGTGCTACGACTTACTTATCTAGGATTATATATATCAGCAGAGATAGTGTCGTTTTCCACAATGGCTATACATATTTGCAGTCTCACCAGCACTGTATGAGGGTTCCAATCTCTCTGCAGCCTTGCTGGCATTTTTTATTTGCTGGTTTTGTTTGTCTGTTTTTGTTTTAATTTGGCTGTCATCGTCAATATAAGGTGGTGGTTTTTTTGGTTTTTTAAACACTGTTTTCACAGTGTTCCATTTATATCAAATTAACTATAACCAGCATGTATTTTTGGAAGTTAAGAACGAAGAGGGATATTAAATATAAAGCAAACTTGAAAGATCATCAAGAGAAAGTTCTTTAACTTCAAATGTTACAGCCACATTAATGTATTCTATGCAAGAATAAAATAAATTTTTCACCTTTGAACACTTATACTGCATTAATCTAGATTTTATGTGACAAATGATTTTTTAACCATAATTTATTTATATTTTCAAATCCTTTATTATTCTTGAAATTCATTAAGTCAGAGTTCATGTTTTATTCCTTTTTAAATACTATGCATTATTTCTGCATCGGATGATGAATCATGCTTGCTGAAGCCTTTTGAATTAATATCTAACTTAATTGCAAAATCACATTTCAGAAGCAAATGTTCATAATTGTTGGATTAGTATCAGAATGGGTAACATGTATGTATCTTAATATATTAATACTCATATCATTGGAAAAAGTAGGATGCTTATTAATTTGATTCATGAGTTTTTCTTGAAAAGACATTTGGTGCTAGTTGCTTCAGGATGCCTAGTAAAAATTTTGAAATGTTAGCAATTCGTTTATGTTTTAATGGAAAGATTGAACTTCTCTTTCTTGTCTTTTCTTTCTTTGATTCCTTTTTTACTTGGGTTTTCTTCTCTTGGGTTGTTTTATTTTATTTTTAATAGATTTATTGGCTTATACTTCGCATAACCTGCAATTTAGTTGTTTAATCATATTAATAAGTTGTGGGCATCAATTTCACAATCAATTTCACAAAATTTTCTTCTTTTTGATAGTCATTGTTATTGGCCCCATTTTCCCTCAAACTCCATGCCATACCCCTACATAATTATTAATCCAGCTACTGATTTGGGGTTTCCACTGTTACCCATAGCCGTCTGCAAGCCAGGTGTTCACAATTCAAGCTCCTATAGAGTTCCCTCCTTCAAATTTGGATTTTATTATTTACAATCCTTGGATAACACAGGATGGTGAGCTTCTTCTACAGGAACTTTGTCAAAGCCTCACTTACGCAGCTGTGTGTTTGGCCAAAATGCTTTTAAGACCCCAGCCTCTTATTTCTTGTAGCCAGGCACCATCTGTTTCATTTCATAACACTTTGCTGTCGCACACACATCTTCAGTGATTTCTTCATGCAGGCTTAGGGCCATGTCATAAGAACGAATTCTTCTTAGTTTAGGGCTAGAATTTCGTGCAAACCCAATATCCAATCATATACCTACAGTTTATATATATTTATGATTCACTTCAGAGAAACATTATTATTTTGTGATCTAGAATATCATAAATCATCCCTCTGGGACATAAGTTGATTCTATTGAAAGTGCCATTAATTTAGTCAATGTTACAGAATTTTAATGACTGTTGGGAAAAGGAAATTATATAAGTATGAATTGGCTTCAAACTATACTAAATGAATTGTTGACTTGTAGAGATTAAATGCTAGTTGAGTGACTGGACACTACACCAACAATTGAGGTTGGTGATAGGGAAAATCTTTAAATAACACTCATTCATTCACAAAAGCACAAAATCACACCTGTGAGATTAACATGTGCCATAAGAAAATAAGGATGTTATTTATAATGGTTATAATGGCTACATCAACACTGTGCATAGATAACGTTTTAACATTGAAGACAGACATCAAGGTTAATTTTGTGAAAGTGAAAAAGAAATCACACATGCAAAAAAAATTGAGTAGCAAACATTACGTATGACAGGACATTCATTTTAATAAGTATTTGGTAAATATTTAAATATTAATAGCCTTATACCAAATGATTTGTTATTCACAAAATGTGGAAGGATTTTTTGGGGAGAGGTTTGGTGGGGTTTTTTTGGTGTTTTAATTAAAACACTCGTGTAGGGTGTTTTAAATAATATATTGGGTGAGAACATTCAAAAATAAAAATTAATCTGATGGATAGATTGATTTTCTCAGGGTGAAGAACATAGTGTGGAATTAACTGCAAAAATACATATATATTATATATATAT